ATTTCAGACAGGTGGCTGTCCAGTCTCTTCTTAACAACCTCCAGTGATGGAGAAGGAAGGAAGGAGGAAGGAAGGAAGGAAGGAAAGAAGGAAAGAAAAGGAAGGAAAAGCAAAAGAAGGAAGGAAAAGGAAGGAAGGAAGGACAATAGAATAGTAACACAATAGCATAATAGAATAACAAAGTTGGAAGGGGCCCTGGAGGTCTTCATCATTACAATGTTGCCATCTAATCTTTCTAACTGCTATTTCTGTATCATCTAATTTTCTTGGTGTAGGTAGTCCTGGACTTACGATCACCACAGAGGCCAACATCTCTGTTGCTAAGCGAGATGGGTTCTGGCTTCCTCATTGATTTTGCTTGTCAGAAAGTCATTTTAAACAGTGAACACATGATCCCAGGACACTGCAATCGTCGTAAGTATGAATCAGTTGCCAAGCCTCTGAATTTTGACCACGTGACCGTGGGGAAGGCTGCAATGGTCATAAGTGTGAAAAACTGTCATAAGTCCCTTTTTCAGTGCTGTTGTAACTTTGAACGGTCACTAAACAAAAGCAGGAATGAAGGCAAATGATTTTTAGTGCAATGATTTTGCATTAAACAAACTGTTGTAAATCAAGGATTATCTATATAGTCATCCAGATTTTGCAGGTAATTAATTTACATTCACATTAAAACTACCAATTACAATTATATTGTAAATTTAATTGTAAGTGCTTGCACCATTACAGTCAGTCTATCTGGGTTTTCATTTGGAAGGTGACAGAATTTTTCTATCCTCATTTCTATTTCATTTTTATATTAAAACAACATTCAACAATTGTTTTAAGCTCTACAACCTACACAGTCTTTGGTGAGAATTGAAGTCATCCATCCATCCTCTTTTCTTTTTTTTAAGAGAGTAAATTATGATTCTAATATACTTTGTTGATATCCTGGCTTGTCAATTTACAAGCCAGTTGCCCTCTGAGACAAGTAAATGTTTATGTGATAACTACAACTATATTATATTTTACCTTTAATAACATCAACACCTCTCATTTCTTTCTTCATTTTTTATATCATGGATGTACTAGCCACATGTTGTAAAGGCTTTCTTTTAGCAAGAAAAAAAAAACGTATGCACAACCACAATTTCAACTGGGTTTCATTAAAAACAAAACAGGGGGAAAAAAGACCTACAATACATATTGCCTGACCCTTATCCAGACGTAAGTGATTCCTCTAAATCTACTGAAATTTGAAAATATAAACTTTGGGTTGCTTAAGAGCAGTCAGCCCATTAGAATAGAACTGAAAGGGACTTTGGAGGTCTTCTAGTCCAACCCCCTGCTCAATTAGGAAACCCTATCCCATTTCAGACATGGGATCTTTTCTTAAAAACTCCCAGTGTTGGAGAATTCACAACTTCTGGAGGCAAGTTGTTCCACTGGTTAATTGTTTTAACCACCAGGAAATTTCTCTTTAGTTTTAGGTTGCTTCTCTCCTTGCTTCATTCATTCACTGACATAAATGGTTTTTGGAGCAGCGCAAGGAACTAATCAGGGGAAAATAAAAATTGTTTAACAAACTTTTAAACCTTGGTTTAATGTTAGTAAAACACTAAACATGCCTGTTGTTTGATTCTCTAGGCTTGGGAGTCAATTTTGTTTTTAAAGACGTCTTTAAACAGGCCTAATTGAGCTTTTGGGGTGAATATCCTGCATTCATTCCCCCTCCCCTCTCTGAAAGAATTTAGAATGTTAGATTAGACTAGAGCTGGAAGGGATCTTGCAGGTCATCTAGTCCAGCCCCCTGGAGACCCTATGCTATTTCAGACAAGTGGCTGTTTCTACTTTCTTCTTAAAAACCTCCAGTGGTGAAGCTCCCATGGTTTATGAAAGCCCTGAACTGAGCAGGGATTTAATTCTAATAACTCCCCCTCCACCCAATATTCCTAATATTATTCCCAGACGGGCAGCCAATTGGAAAGAAACTCGGCTTTCAAAACCTGCAGCTTGGAAGCGTGGCCCCTCCCCCTCCCAGGAGAAGGCCACGCCCCCCTCGGGCACTTCCGCCTCCCCTGGTAACCAAAGCACGGGGTTGCTCAGCTCTCTCGCTCTCTCCGCCTTCAGGACCCGGCCGAGCGAAGGGGGGCTGTCTACTGCACTGCCTGACGGGCCCTCGACCTCGGATCCGCTCGCTCGCCGCTGGGAAAGACTCCGGTTCGCTCTAACCGAGCGCTTCACGTTCGTCTTCCTTTACTTTTTCCCTTCGAGGGTGGAGGGCTCGAGAAGCGGGTCGGGGCTGCCCCGAGGGGATCAGGCGGCCGGCGGGGCAGCCTAGGGGGCGGGGTCCTCGCCCTGGCAGAAAGTGAGGGGGGGGGCGGGCGGGAGAGAGAGAGAGAGAGAGAGAGAGAAGAGCCTGACGGAGCTGCTGGAGCGGCAGAAGCGGAGACCGATGTTTACAGCGGGCCGAGGTAACCGCCCCCCTCGGCGGCCTCCTCCTCCGCGTCCTCGGGCCCCGCTCCGGAAGGCGGCCTGAGGGGTGGGGGAGAGAGAGAGAGACGCTAGGCCCCGGGAGGTGGGGGGAGGGCCCGTTCCTACTACAGCCCCCCCCTTCCTCCGCCGGTGGCCTACCTCGCGGGGTTGTTGTGGCGGGGAGGTGCCCTCCAGGCGACGGAGAGGGGGCCCGGGGAGGGGTCACTGGAGCCGCGGGGTCCCTTGTGTGTGGAGGGAGGAGGGGGAGGAGCATGGATGGGGAGGGGGCGAGGAAGAGTGGAGGGGGCGTCTTGGGGTCTGAGCTAATCTGGGGGAGGGGCTGCTGGTCTCTCTCTGCCTCACCTATGGTCTTTTGGTCTGTCATTTATAGTGCATCACCTGCCTGTCTGTGTCTGTCTATCTACTATCTATATCTGTCTGCTATTATCTATCTGTCATCATCTATCATCTACCACTTCTCTCTCTCTCTCTCTCTCTCTCTCTCTCTCTATCTATCTATCTATCTCTATTTCATCTGTCTGTCTCTATACAGTATCATAATCTATCTCATCTATCTATTGTCTTTTGGTCTATTTATAATGTATCTCTTATCACCTATCTCTACCATCTGTCTGTCTGTCTCTATCTGTCTATCTATCTCTACTCTCTCATCTGCTGTCTGTCTATCTCTATCTCATCTCTATATCTATCTATCTATCTATAATCTATCTATTTCATCTGTCTTTTTCAATCTATCTATACAGTATCTATCATAATCTATCTCATCTCGTCTTTTGCTCTATTTATAATGTATCACTTATTATCTATCATCTACCTATCTGTCTCATCTATGTATTTGTTGGTCTATCACCTATCTCATCTGTTGTCTGTCTCTCATCTATCTCTGTCTATATTTGTGTCTCTCTCATCTATGTCTCTGTCTATCTACATCTAGCTAGCTATCATCCATCCATCCATCTCTATTTACCTTATTATTTTTATACATCTATCTGTCTGTCTGTCTGCCTACCTACCATTTACCTAGCTATGTACGTCTATCATCTATCCATCTATTTATGTTCACCTTATCATCTGTCTGTCTACAACTTCTTTATACATCTATCTCGATACATCTGTCTTGTCTGTCTGTTTGTCTATTTATCATCTAACTATGTACATCTATATCATCCATCCATTTATCTTCACCTTATCATCTGTCTACATCTGTCTTTATACATCTGTCTTTATCTTTATACATCTATCTTGTCTGTCTGTCTGTCTGTCTATCTATCTATCTATCTACCTATCTATCTATTTCTATCATCTATCTGATATCTATCACCTGTCATCTATCTATTGTCTATCTATTATCTATCATTTACCATGTATCTATCTCATCTATCTAGCTCTATCATCTATCTAGTTCTGTCTGTCTATATCTGAATCTGTCAGTATCATGTATCCTTATCGTCTCTCTACACATTTCTATCATCCATCTGTATCATCGATCTCCCATCTATAACTCATCTATCTCTATTCTGTATCTGTACATCTATCTGTCGGTTTATCTCTCATCTATCTGCCCATCTTATCACCAACTCTTTAGTTTGTTCCTTTGTTTTGGTCTGGACTTCCTGTAGACTTTACTTGTTGGGGCCTTGGTGTCCCCCTCAGTTTGTGATTTTTCTGTGTTTAGACATTTTGGAGGCAGGTTTTGTAAGTCTTGACTAAAATATTAGGGGTTCAATGCACATTGTTCTCTCTCTGATGCACCTGAACATTCCCTGCCACTATTTGGGGATGTGTATGTATACTTATGTTTATGGAGATGGATATACTTAAAGCTCAAGTAGAAACTGCTGCCCTCTCCTTTTTATAGTTATAAATAAGAGAATTTTAGCTCCCAAACCAACTTCACACAGATTTTCCAACCCTAAATTCAGGAGAGTTGTAATTCCTATCTTTTTAATTCTTTCCCCATAGCTGTGTTGGAAGAGAGATATAAGGGAATTCCTTTTGAAACATGTTAGTGTTCCTGCCATAAGTGCAATTGCAGCCATGGCTCATATTCCTCATATTTCAGTTTTCAGCATATTTCTGCAATTTCTATTT